TGAGCATGGGATTTTAATGAAGAGAACAAGCCTACAAGCCTTCTCTGAGCCCTCTCCCTTTGCAGAGGGAGCCCTCCCTCAAACTCTGCTCATCACTGTTTTTTTTTAAGATTTTATTTATTTATTTGATAGAGATAGCAAGAGCAGGAACACAAGCAGGGGGAGTGGGAGAGGGAGAAGCAGGCTTCCAGCGGAGCAGGGACTCTGGGATCATGACCTGAGCCAAAGGCAGATGCTTAAGGACTGAGCCACCCAGGTGTGCCCCTGCTCATCACTGTTTGATCCAATTGAAAAGGGAAGCATGTGTGTTGACAACTGGTCCTCTAAATCATTTTTCACTCTCTAAATGACTGTTTCCACCAGGCAAATTGTCATTTGTTCAAAGGATGCTGGAGGTCAGCAGCAGCTGGTTTTTCACAAGCTTCTTCGCAACATTACCTCCGATGCTACTTTTTACTCTAAGGAGTAGAACTCTGATTGCTGTCTCTATAGTTTGGGTTTCTTCCCTACCTTTAGCGATGGAATGACTTGGTTTCATTCTAGAATATACTCTTTTGTGACTGGTGTGAGGAAAGTTGCTTGGCTTATGGACGAGGTCACTGTGCCCATGTACTTACCCTCTGACAGTGTTCCTTCATAACAGTTTAATGCACGGGGAACCAGGGAGGTGTAGCTTGCTGTCCTGGAAAATCCAATTTTTATTGTTCCATGTTTTATTTCCACTCTTCTTTTTTTGGTTGCTGTGTAAACTAATCATTCTTTTTTTTTAAGATTTACTTTTTTATTTGAGAGAGAGAGCTTGAGCACACGTGCACACAGGGTGGGGGGAGGGGCAGTGGGAGAGAGAGAATCTCAAGCAGATTCCCTGCTGATCGCAGAGCCCAATGCAGGGCTCAATCCCATGACCCTGAGATCACGACCTGAGCTGAAATCAAGAGTCAGACGCTCAACCGACTGAGGCACCCAGGAGCCCCTAAACTGATTCTTTTTTTTTTTTAAAGACTTTATTTCTTTATTTGAGAGAGAGAGAATGAGAGAGAGCACGAGAGGGAAGAGGGTCAGAGGGAGAAGCAGACTCCCCGCTGAGCAGGGAGCCCGATGTGGGACTCGATCCCGGGACTCCAGGATCATGACCTGAGCCGAAGGCAGTCGCTTAACCAACTGAGCCACCCAGGCGCCCCCTAAACTGATTCTTAAAAGATTTATTGGTTCCAGCCCATACAGACTCATGTTCTGTATTCACAACAGAATCCTGTCATCTTTTTATACCGGTAATGTTTTTCTGATGGTAGAGAAATTGGGCTCTGGAATCAGATGGCCATGTTTAAATCTAGGCTCTGCCATGTGCCACCTGGAGGCCTTGGCCAAATTACTGTCTTTGTGTCTTTGTTTCCCCATCTGTCAGTAGGGTTAATAATGACATCTAACTCCTAAAATTGAGATGAATTAGCAAGATAGATATAAACACTCATGCCTGACATGTAATAATTGCTCAACATATATTAACTACAATTAGAATTATTATCTATACTTTTATTCAATGAAGCACTTTTAAGCCACGGATTCATTGTGTAATTGGGGATATAAGGTAACACCACAATGACCATCCTTTGTCTCATGGGTGGCCACTGTCCTGACTTAGGTGTATTTACCATTCTTGTACATGCATTTGCACATTAACAACATGGGTATCCATAAGCATTATGTAGCGCTTTTTATGAGGCTTTGCCACCTTATATAAACGCATCATTCTGTATGTATTCTTCTGTAACTTGCTCTTTTCACTCAATATTAACTTTTTGAGATTTATTCACGTTGACAGGTATAGGTCATGCATCTTTAACTGCCACAGAGTTAGCCACAGTTTACCCGTTCTCTAGCTGACGGACATATGGTTTTTTCCCAGTGGATGGGCATGTTTGTTCTTTTGCCCATGGACTCAGCCAGGGATCAGCAGCACTATCAGCACTGAGTGTTTCCTGTACTCACCACGGGCTAGCTCGGCAGCACTCCTCCACGGGCTTCCTCACAGGAGGGGACAAAGTCCCTTGTCAGGGTCACGTGGAATGAGACCGACAGTGGATTTGACCCAGGCCTGCCTGAGGCTGAGGCCTGTGCTCCTAGCCACTCCGCCATTCTGTCTCCTAGGGAGAAATGCCTGGTATCACACAGAGGCAGGTGGACAGGCCCCCGAGCAGGGTCTGGGTGAGATCCCCCCACCTGGCCCTGGCCCCCTGGAAAGGCAGAGGGACCGGCTACAGCTCTCAGACCTGTCTTGGTCTAGGATTGCTCAGTTACTGAGTCAGCACCGTCTGCTTTGGTTTCAGAACCCCCTGTTCCTCCAAGAGTATCTAACACCACTGGAGACTTTCTGGAGGGGCGGCCCACAGGCTCCATCTGTGCCGTGTAACACAAAAGAACTGCCAGAAGCATAAAAAGGGCCACATCTCTGCTGCTGGCTGGTGGCGAGGGGGGTGGTGGAATGGAGGGAGGTGTCAGAAACCCTGGGTCAAAGCATGAAAGAGACAGTCGGGGAGAGACTAGCAAGCCACTAGCGTGGGCCTGAAGAGTATGGGTGGCCTGGAAGGAAGGAGCAAATGGCATTTACTTTGCTTTAATGTAAACTCAGTTTAGAACAATTTAGAATTGAAACATTCTGATCTTGGATCTCATTCCAGGGCTTGGTTACTGGGGCAGCGACTATTGCTATTATAAGACAGTGAGTGTTTGATGTCCCCTAGCTGGAGTGGACTTTGTGGGTTACTGCCTTGCTCTTGGCCTCGGCTTCCTCATGTGTGAACCTGGGAAGGGAGCCAGCCAACAGATGCAGGACACAAGGGGTCTGACGTGGAGCAGGGACTCAATAAATGGTCACGGTCATCATTACCTCCCTATGAGGCAAGTCTCACCAGCGGACAGCTGGGTCGAGGTGTAGCTTCCGCCAACTGGCCTCAAGTTGTGAGGTGTCTTCATGCCTTGAAGGAGATCAGGATTTGACTGAGGACCAAAGAGTAGAATCAGAAGTTCCTACAAAGAACCCCACTCCCCCGTGCCTCCTATTCCAGCAGGTTTCCGGTGTGACCCCAACCCTAACTCAAGGGTCTACTCCCCCAGCTGGGCCAAACCCATCTCCGTCTGTCCAGGTTCTGAACAAGCTTCTGGAGCAACAGGACGCCCACCAGGTCCTGATCTGGAGAGCTCATAAGGCCAGAGGGTGTGGCAGCGGGAAGAGAGGAGGAGAACAGTAAGATGGATAAAGTGCCGCACTGCATGCCCTAAATACACCGCCACCGAGTAGGGAGCATCTGCAAAGACGGAGGCCTGCAGTCTCCGAGCTAGAGAGACATTTCCGATAAGGAGCAATAAGACCCAGAAGAGCTCCCTTGACCACAGGCAGTGCCCTGTTGCTGCCCGGGGCCCAAGGCAAGCTTCGTGAACTGTCCTCGAATGTGACACCATTACAGAGCTCAACGGGAGCGATGCTGACTGGGCTCCAGAAGACTCCGAGCCGCAGCCGGGGTGGTGGTCTCATCTGCAACGGGCCACCGCAGCAGCCTTCTTGCTTCGACTCTTCGAGGTAAAGCCAGACCAGGAGTCACCGCGGACACCGTGAATGGGTGCTGATTGATTGATTTATTAGACTCGAGTGCTTTAGTACAGAACGGTACAGAGATGATACATGTTTGTGCTTCAATACTTTCCAACACTGAGATTCTGAGAATTTCAAGGTAAACAAGTTTCAAGACAGACTAGCTTTTTTAAAATATCCTTTTGATAAATTATTTTTATATAAATAACAGAGAAAGGAAACCGACACTTTCGACGCACAAGGCCCTGAAGCGTGAGCCCCGTCTGGTCCAGGGGAGGGGATGAAACAAGCAGCGGCAGCGAGAAACAAACCAGGGCAAGCACCTACAGTTCTGTCCTAAGGAAACGGGAGAGGGGGACAGAGAGAAGAGGCCTGCAAACTAATCCAAGTGCGCCGGGGAGACTCCGAAGCCTTGGGAAGAGACCACCACGAAGCGGCTACCGGGGAGGGCGAGGAATGCACTCCGAAAGGAAAGCAGGCGGCCGCGTGGAGCTAGCACACACCACGTCTGCAAGGACAGCACGAGACAGTAAGATGCACACGGTCTGCAGGGGTTCAAGGGCAGCGGGGGGCGGGGCAGGGGACATTTTTGTGACTTCCACTGTCATTATATTTTGTGACAACAGCAGCAGAACACATGGTGCGCTCACCATCGGAGAACGGAGAGCTGCTGAGTCTTGAGGATGACGAGACATCCTTTCTGCATTTGCTTCTTTCATTTTTGCTTTAGAGCTAAGTTTTATACAGAGAATAAAATGATCATTTTCTCTTACAAGCACGACGACATATGACCCCACACGACACAAAATAAAGTATTATAAAGTATCTGAAACTGAGGATAATCTGAGCGGGAACAGGGTTTGCATAAATCCAATGGGCTGTTTTTCTCCCATGGTCTGAAGTCTCAGGGGCACAGACCCTTCTCTACAGGAAAGGGCCCTCTGCCCAGGAGCCTGCGGAACCCATTCCGTTCTAGTTTGTTCCTCACCTGGGAGCTCCGCCCGTGCTGACCCCGCTGAGAAAGAAGAGCCCTGTTGGGGGTGGTGCCCGGGGAAGCAAAGGGTCTGTCCAAAAAGGCCAGCCGAACTGCTTCTGCAAGAGACCAAGGTCCTGGTGGGAGCTTGCTCCGCACTCGCTGGGCACCATGACTTAGGCTGCAAAATTACTTCCCTTGGGATCACAGCCCTGTAGACACGGGCTGGGCCGGGGGAAGGGTGGGGGGCGGTGACAGGCTGCGCGCACGCAAGCCAGCGCCCGGCCTGACTTCACAGGAACACCTCCAGCCCCTCCCACAGCCCCAGCACAGGGAGGATAAGCCGCTGGGGAAGGCTAAGAGGTCGCTTCCAGCTCAAACCTCACAAGATGTCACCTGATATTCACTGCCAAGCTTATCTGGATGACAGCAGGCCGAGGGGTAAGAACTGGAGTGAAGCCAACAGATTAATCCTCAGTTTGAAATATTCCAGCAACAGACATCTCTGTGATTCCCGAAAAGAACAGGAACAACCCAAAACAGATTTTGTAAAACACCCAAATGTCTACCTTCCCATACTCAAGCAATTTGTGCATGTCGCACTGGGTTATATACAAGGTCATGGAATCCTAATAATGGGGAGAAGGTGTCCATTCATTCTAGACGGTTCTACAACTTCTCCAGCAGTGTGTCCCTTACTTGGGAACTTCTCCTCTTAGGACACATATAGAAGATACTCTTTTTAAAAAACACAATGCATTATTTTCTTTTGTTTCACACAAGAAGAGGGCATCATTAAACACGAGAACGCAGCGGCGACAGTGCCGGCCAGGGCGTGCAGAGCTGGGGGCGGCGGTGGAGGGACGGGGTCAGCAAAGTAACCGAGGCGGGCAGCGGTAGGGGCTGCAGCACTGTGGGAAGAGGGTTCGTTTTTTGGAGGGGTGGCTTATGTTTTTAACTGCTTATTTCTTCATCTGTTTTATTCAGTTTCTTCAGCGTGTCCAGCAGTTTCTGTGGGGTGAGAATGTGCGTGGATCCTGGGGGGGCAGAAAAGACAGTGAGCTTGCTGGCTCCGGTTCCCACCATGTCTCCTTTCCTGCTCTTCCGTTCCCCAGCTCCGCATCCGTTCCCCCACCCACACCCTGGTCTAGAGGAAGCAGGGAGGGAGCCAGGGGTGGGGTGCTGGGGCCACATCACAATAGGCCTGGGAGACATTTGGGGACTGTGGATAAACAAAACATCCTCTGGCTCAGGCAGGGTCCCAGGCTATACCAAGGAAGGAACCCGCCTCTCCATCTGGGCTCAGTGTCATCTGCCAGGGGACAGGGAGGCTGCATTTCTGATTCTCTCTTGCACTCGCGGTGAAGCCAGGGAGAGGAATTCCAAACCATACGGCAGGGGAGAGGCTGGGAAGAGGGCGGGGGGTGGGTAGGGGGCTGTGTGTGGAAAGGATGGTGCCTGCTAGGGAGGGAGTGATGGGCAGGGCACCCTGGGGGAAGCCACTGACCTCGGGAGCCAGCGGGCTGGGACTGCCCTTGTGGGGGGGACCTCAGGTGTGAAAGGGAAAGGGCCAGGGTACCTGAGGCCTTACCTTGCAGAGACCGCACATTGTAACAGACTAGAAATGCTTGCAAAAAACTTAAGCTAATGGAATCAGATATACTTCTATTGCAAAAATAAAAAAAATAAAATAAATAGATGAAGTCCTTTTTCATAAGGAGAGAGAGAGAGCTAAGAAGTGCAGTAAAAAAAGATGCATGGACCGTGTGGCTTGGACATGGACTTTACTGGAACAGAACAGAAGTGACCGGTGTGAACATGAGGCCGGCACACATGCAGCAGCGGGCTTCAAAGAAAGAGATCCCGGTGGGAGAGAAGAACCGAACAAAAGAGATCCGTACTTGAAAATGTGCTTCCCTGGAGGTGCGGGCGAGGGCGTGGGCCTTGGGGGAGTGGGGACAGAAACTGCAGATTGCCAGATTTCCACCCGGAGGGTAGGCAAAAGAAGGCTTTGGCTGGCTTGTTGGGGTTGATTCCAAATACCAGGGTCCCTGTGCCTTCGACCACTATGTGCTCAGCTGACCCGCGATGGCTGGGACTGCAGGCCTTGAACCTGCCTGGTCCATCCAGACCTCTAATGTGAGGGGCTTCTTCCAACATCCCATCCTCTGTAGTTCAAGCCCTAGCCATTCTGTCACTGCCCCAAGGGAGGAACTGGTCCCTGGCTACTTACAGCCCACACCAGCCCCTGCACTGACCCATTGCCCTGCACACCTGAGGCTCCTTCAGGAAAGGCCACGGGGCTTTCAGCAGTATGTTCCTGGGCCTTTTTACAGCACCGCCCTCCCACAGAGGTACCAAAGGTAGACTCATTTCTGTGACATTGCTAATCTTCCTATGAGTCCTAAAGAACGTCAAAGGCTACTACTCCCTAAGTGAGAAAACAGGAATAAATGTTGCCAAATTCTTAACAGTGAACCATTGCCAGAGTGAGGGTCTTCCAAATCTCAACTCCATGCAGTCTGTGCGTCTACATCTAGAAAGCCTCTGGGTATTTGTGCAGAGATTAACTTGGGGGCTTTCCAAGTAAAGGCGACCAGTGCACATGCTAGAGAAACCGTCCCTAATGCCCTCCCACGCCATCCAGCTGAGTTCCAGGAAACAAGACAGAAGACTCGATTTCCTGGAAAAATCAAAAGGGAGCCTCTGGTCAGATGCCTATCCCAAAGTGCTCCCTACCCTCACTTACATGCAAATTCAAGGTCTGAGGGAGGCCAAAAAAGGTTAAGGAATCCATGCTCCTAGAACTTTCTATTATCTAATAGCTGACCATCTGGTGTTCCCAGTCTGAGTGAAAGAAGAAAATGTCCAGGACTGAGTATTCTGGGCCCAAACTCACTGGGTGTCTTTAAAGGATCCAGACCAGCTGGTGTTAATCTGAATCACCTGAGAGCTAATTCTTGTCACCCAATCACCTGAATTAAAACCCTGGTCAAGCTTTCCACCACCACAAACACTGCAAATGGAGCTGCATGAGCCTATAATACACATGCTGCAAACCCATGTTTTGAACCCACGGGAGCTGACCGGGTCGGCCCTTCAGAACTGCAAGGGGGTTCCACTGCTCTGAGGGTCTCTCTTATGCTCCGTAAGTGCAAGACAGAAATGTGAACGGTGGTCTCCAAACACAGTCATCTGAAAGACAGTCAGAGCTGTGGGCCAGACCCAGTGAGCTCTGCCAGGACAAAATCTTTCCTCACTGAGAGAATCTGGAGATCAGGGTGTTCCTACAGATCGGCTAGTCTAGGCATTGCTGGCTTTGGCCGAAACGCACCTACCAACTCAGCAGATCCAGGGAGGTACCAGGAAATGTGTACATGTAAGAGCAACCCAGAAGAGTTTGATGATCTGCCAGGTTTGGGAAACATGCTCTGGCCCAACCCACATCCTAAAGATGGGAGAACGAAGCCCAGAGCGTCAGAGTGCTCATTTGCAGCCCTTTGGTGGCACAGGCCAGGCCTGGAAGCCAGGCCACTGGTCTCAATTCTGGGCACACTGGGCTCCTGGCCCCGATAGGGGTCATGTAAGCGAATGCTTAAATAGCAGTTGGGCAATGGGTTCGCTCTGAATTCAGATTCAGATCTGAGTCCCACTGAAAAATGAGACTTCTCTGATCCCAAATGGGAATAAAGCAAAACATTCAATATAAAAAACCAAAAACTTTCTCCCCAGTGCAAGGGCTGTGGACAGCTTTTCGGTGCACCTCCACCGGCTTCGGGCGGCCCCTTGGACATTCCCTCAGGATTGGTACTTTTAACACAACCCCCCCAGAGCTTGGGGTGAAGATCTAATGCAAAGACTTCACTTCTGGACGGTACAGAGGGATGACTGATTAATGGGATTAAGGTGAGGCTTGGTGGCATCTGTGCACTTCGGCTACCCACACCTGCTCCCTTCAACCGGCACGTGGGGGAGAGAAAGGCACCAGAGGATGGAGTGGGCACTGGCACCTGCACGCGGGGCCCACCGGGGACACGCTCACTCACTGCTGAGCAGGAAAACTCATCTCCTAGAAGCTAAGTCACTGCAGACACTGACTTGGACAGGGGACAACCCCGGCCCTCTCCTGTCCTGCACTGTCCTCGTCTTTGGTCACCTGGATAATCACAACAGAAGGGGGCAAGTCATAGTTTCATCTGCCTTCCGACCTCCCCGGGATTCGGGCTCCATGTCGCGCTTTTTCCTAAAGGAACTCTCTAAAACACAACACTGCCCCAAAAAAGCATTTCAGAAGCCAAGAGTACACAACTCAAGTCTATTCGTGTTCTCTGCTCAGATGTCAGCTGAGACCCTCTGTACTGACTGAACATAAAACAAAGGAAACCAGCCTGCGAGGGACAGGCTGCTTCTGAAGCAGGGACTCCCAGAGCGAGTCCTAGCTGGAGCCTCTGGGCTGTGGGTTTGAGTCTTTCAAAGCCTGCAAGCACTCCGCCACTGCTGTAGCCTGGACTGAACACCTGTCCTCAGTAAGTCTCACAATACATCCCGTAGCAAATGCTGATCACCTACCTGCCCTCTGTACACAGAACCAGATGTCTCTGATTACCAACCAACCAAGGTACTTCTAAACAATGATGATTTTTTTTTAACAATGACTATTTTTTAACAATTGCTTTTAGTCACCACCCACTGGCTGCACTTTCTAGGGGAAGGCAGCTGGGCAGGATGGGAGGCAGCCCAGGGCCACAGCCAGCCCACTGGGCACCGTGCAGGCTCATCCCACATGCGGCTTCTCCCCTCACTACAGCCCAGGGGGAGCCATCTCTAGGCCACAGGGAGGAAAGAGGAGACAAATTGCACAGCTGCCTGTTCTGACCTTTAGGGCGAGTCCTTTTCTGGCCTGAGCATGTTTTGTTTATACAAACAAGCTGGTGCTCCCTGGTTATGGTTCTGATGGCCCAATCTCCTGAGGTTCATCAGAGATTGCAAATGCATGAGGGTAGGACTGCAAGCTTTGAGGCCCCCGATCTGAATTACTGAATCAGACGGTCAGAGCTCAAGGAGCCTGGGGCCCTGCAATCCAGCTTCTCTGCATTCTGCATAGTGTGTGTGTGTGTGTGTGTGTGTGTGTGTGTGTGCATAGTGTGTGTGTGTGTGTGTGTGTGTTCCAGCCTCTCTGCATTCTGCATAGTGTGTGTGTGTGTGTGTGTGTGTGTTCCAGCCTCTCTGCATTCTGCATAGTGTGTGTGTGTGTGTGATCCAGCCTCTCTGCATTCTGCATAGTGTGTGTGTGTGTGTGTAGGGGGGGTGCCTCCTGCAGTCCCACAGGTGCTCCTGGCAGAGCTGGGGCTAGAGTCCAGGCCTCGCCACTGCTCACAGGTGACTCATGTCCCATGATTCACCAGGCTCCATCTCAGCCTGGGTGGGGGTGGGGGGTCGGTGGAGTGCACGAAGTCAGGTACACGGAGTGTGGCCTCATCACAGACTGCATAAGAAAGCTACGGAAAAACTAATGCTACAGTGGAGTTCCTCAGTAACCATCTGTCACATAACACAACAAAGGAGGTTCCTAGCACACGTGAGGGATGGAAAGAGCGAGGAATGAGGACAAGAGTAAAATCTGGATAATCTACCAGACGGACGCCAGGTTCCTGGGTAACGGGTAAAGGCACAAGCGTGGTGGGAGAGAAGATACCCAAACAGCACACTGTGTGAAGAACGAATTTTAACCCAAAGGTTCCCAGATCTCACCAAGAGACTTCAGTGGGAGGGAGGAGTGTGATGACTCAACACTAGAAAAAATCCACAGGAGAATGAAAATAAAAGCAATTACTGAAACAGTAACTACGAAGGGCCATTTCCCCCAGACGAACATGAGACCCGAGCTTCCAACTGGTGGCTGGAGTTCACCAAGTACACGATGGCTCATGACCCCAGCACCCCCTAGAAACTTCCTCGAGCTGAGCGCCTGTCCTGGGAAAAAAGAATTTCTGTGTCTAACTACCCCTGACGTGGAGTCTATTCTGACGCGCTCCAATAAGCCTCCCTCACAATCAGGTACCCGTGTGTATCTCCACTGGACTTCTGCCTTCTTAGACATGATGGTCCCTTGAACGACTGCTGGCCTCACTCTCAAGTTCGCACAACCCCCACACAAGCAGGAGGCTATGTGTTCCCTGCCTGGTGCCTACAAATTCATCCGGGCCAGCAGGCTTGGATGCCATGCCTCCAGCATCCCTCAGCTTCCAGCTCCTCTGAAGGACGGGTCACAGCAGTTATAATCACTTTTGGATTAAAACCCAGGGGGCGGCACTGCCTGACTGAGCAGCAGGTGACCCAGGGCACGAGTGAGCTGGCAGGCCGGGGCCCAGAGGCTCTCGTGGCAGGGTCTGTGAAGGCAGCACCGGACACATTTTCAATCGGTGTTAAGAACTGCAAGCATTTTCTTGTTGAAAGAAAATCAAATAAATAAACTAAAAAGGGAAAAAGAAAGAAAAAGAGTGACGGAATAATCAAAGAAAACCCTTCAGAGTGGAAGAGTTTCTTTTCTGTAATAAGCTGCTTTTACTTTGTTTCTTTGACTCTCACTCCATTGTTGGAGCCTGATCCTCAAAAGATACCCTAGAGGACTCCCTGAAGTCGGGGTGTCTCAGGTCCATGAGAAATTTGGTGGGAGTGAGAATGTGAGTAGAACCTGTGGGAGAACAGAGTCCAGCTGACTGCTTGAACAACGGTACGTTACAGGAACATGCCAACTCAGGCCTATGTTTTATGCAGCCAATGAGGTACGAGAAAGCAAGACGCGAGCACGCGCGCACACGCACACAGGCCTCAAGGACAGCCGGCATGCACAAAGCAGGTGAGGCCACGCTGCTGGACGTCAGCTGTCTGCGCAAGGCCTCTCCGTGAATCTGCGGGGGCAAATTTATCACCCCAGGGTTCCACCCCCCAACAGGGAACTGCAAGTCAGGACCAAAGTCGAAGAGGGAGATCTACACCAAAGCCTGGCTGTGACAGCTTCTGCCCAGGAAAGCTGTATTTGAGTGGAGAATTATCAGACACATGCATGCAACACATACGCAAGCAGGGGACAGAGGGAGCTTTATCACGGGGTCCATGTAAAAAAAGAAGAAAACAATACAGGGAGAAATGGCGACCAGCTGGGGAAGTTCCAGGGAATAGGGAGGGGAAGGAGAGGATGTCCGGTCTCCCCACTGAATGGTGGTCTCTAGAAAGGCGGTTGACAGTGCCAGGTCCATCTTGACTCACCCAGGAATGGCCACATAGACTGGTCTGCAGAACCTGCTCACTCTGAGAGCTTAGGGGGCACTGTGACTTGGTTACCCCAAAGCGGAGGTGTAAAACGGACACAGCTTATAGAGATCAGGGGCAAGGCCAGGGCAGTATGCGCCGATAGCCTTTTGTCAATGTCAAGAGGCAGCCCAGGAGGTGCAATCCATTTTGTTAAGGGCAAGATGGGGCAAAAGGAAGGCATCTGGAATTCACTCTTCCCCTTCCAGCCCTAGAAACTGTGGAAGCTCCTACAGGCATGAAAAAGGAGTCTTTAAATCAGCTTAATGAGTTGTTTTCTTTCTTCTGGAAAGGAAATGCCAGAAAGGGTATGGCCAACCTGGAAGTGGTAGGAACTGGAAGGGGGGGCAGGACCCCTTAGCAGAGTCCAGCAGTCAGGCCAGTATGCTTCAGGCAATATCTGCTCGCAGGCTGTGTCTGTCCATCTCCAACGGACAGGTAAAGGAGGGGGCGATAATTTACCTTCCATTCACTGAGCATCTTCTGGATATGAGGCCCAATGCCAGGAAACAGACAAGTCCCACATCAGGCCCAGTACAAGGCTGTAAGTGGGTGTTCTTAACCCCGTTTGGTTGGGTAAGGAACTCGCAGCATGGAGAGGTGGAGCGCTTGCTCAAGGTGACCTGCTTGGCAGTGGCCGAGCAGGGACGGGAGTCTGTGCTCGGGCGCTTCCCACCGCTTACAGCTGCCTCTCATCACGAGACACAGTGCAGACACGAGGAAAGAACCCTTTGCCCCTTAGCTGCTGCTGTCCACAAACATGTCTGGAGCCTAAGTTTTGCAGGGGCAATGGAGAATCGAAGACAGAATGAAACACCAAAGCGTGGAATGGGTCAAAGTGCAATGAAGCAGCCCCTTCCCTCTAGAACACATGCCCCCACTCACCTATTAGCACTTCCCACTTTCCATTGGCTTGGGTCACCTCGTAAGCACAACGCATCTCGTTCAGGCTCACGCCCCCAAGGATGAAAATAATGAGGCGGGGACCACTGCGGTACTCCCCTGGGGCCTTATTCTTATGCCAGTGCCCATAGCGGGCGCTGGGGTGGGGGGAGAGAGGGAGAAGGGGAGAGGGAAGGAAAGAGGGAGAGAGAGGGAAAGAGAGAGAGAGATTAATTACGTTTATCTGCACTAAAGCATTTAGCACTTCATACCTCAATGACTTATTTACACATTCATTCTGTACACCAGTGACCAAAACAGAGTAGTAGCGAGTGTTGGCTGAGCTGAACCGCTGTGCACAATATCAAGGGGTCTGGCTGCCCACGCTTTGACCTTGTCACTCCCTCGGAAACACGAGGCGACAGGCAGGCTCGAGTTAGCTTTAAAGTTTGGCGTGTTACACCCCCCAGCTTCGCCCCTCACGGTGGTTGTCAGGCTTCTGCCCTCGAGCGTACGGGTTTCTAGGCTTGTCTGGGACCCTCGGCTGGCAGTGAGCAGAGTCAAGGCCCGCCTTCAGGTCGGCACGCTGATTCACGCACCGAGAACCTCACCGGGCTGCGGTCTCCCCTGGCCCCGCGGTGCCACCCCGAGGGAGATTCAGCCGTGCCCACCAAGAGCTCGCGGTTTAACTGGGGTGGGTGGGGAGAAGGAAGCAGGTCAGAATTGTGCTACAGAGGAGCTCAGTGCTATCAGGACACACGTGGGAGGGCCTTCTAGCATCATCTGGGCATCACCGGAGAAGTCTTCCCAGGAGATGTGACACTGAGCTCCTCCTGAAAGACAGGCATTTCAGTGGTGGGGCAGTTCCCCCCATTGCCCCTGAGGTGCTCTTAGTAAGTCTTCACCTTATCCTCAGAAACAATAAGAAATGGGTTGCTTCCAGGTTAAGAAAATGGGGGAAATAAAACAAAAAGCAAAACAAGGAGAGAGAGTCTCTAGTGAGATCTCTGCACTTCTTCCTAATGACAGCGTTAAAAAAAGTCACTTTCTGATCCTGAAGGTGCCAGGGGCATATGGGGTCAACACAGAGAAAATCCTTTGGCAGTCTGCCATTGTGCAGCACTACCGGGGATTTTGAATTTTACCCAATGTTGGCAATCGACATTTGGCCTCCACTGGCATCAGAGGGGGGCGCCTGGGTGGCTCAGTCTGTTAAGCGTCTTTGGCTCAGGATCCTGGGATCGAGTCCCGCCTCAGGCTCCCTGCACAGGGAGCTTCTCCTTCTGACTCTCTCTCTCTCCCTCTGTCTCTCATGAATAAATAAGTAAAATCTTTAAAAAAAATAAAAGTGAGGGCAGCAGGCTGCGAGGCAAGAGATGGCAGGCAAAGCACGAGCAGGTGGATAAGCATGCAGAGTGCTCATCTTGGGGGCTAAACGCTACTCCAGGGCCCCGGCACGCCCTCTTTGGAGCTAGCGATGCTCCTGTTCCAAGCTCAAAGGTTCATTCGGCCTTGACTCTTCTCAGGAGCCACCCCAGGCTCTCACTGTCAAAGAAAAACAGTAGCACCCTGGCTCGGAGGCTGCCACCTCAGGAAAGGTAACAGATGTTTCTGTGGGTCAGGGAACAGCCTGGACCACACAGACGAGGGAGGCCAAGAAGAGTCTGGAGGCGAAACGCCTTCAGACATCCTCACAGAGCACAGAAGGGAAGGCTTTCCGATGCACGGCAGGAGGAGAAAAAGAGGAAACGCCTTTGAAAACAGACCCTGGAAGATACCATGAGCAACCAAGAAAACACAGTGTTGGAGAACCCAGGGACAGAAGTATGGATTACTGTCTACTCACATCTCCAAGCTGAAATATCTGAGCATCACCAGGTATGTGGCAGAAACCCAATAAACCCAAGGCATCCACACTTCCATCATCTACGTTTCCATCAAGCATGATTCTGAGAAACGCAGCTCTATGCAGACAACATATTCATCCCCTTCAATTGAATAATCAAAAGTGAAAGCAGAATACACTGAGCACCTACTATGTGCCAGGCTCTGTTTTAGCAACTGAGGCTAAAATAGACACACAAATCCCCGCCCTCGTGAGGCTGACATTCTAATTGGGGGAGACTGGCAGTAAGCAAGAGAAACACAAATACTCTACTACATGCTGGCATAATGTATGGAGTGAACAAAAAAAGGAAGGGGGAGAGGAGGTGTTGGGGGGTGGCTATCATTTTTTTTCTTTATTTTCTGTAACACCTTTATTGAGAGATAATTCACGTCATACAATTCCTTCATTTAGCGTGTACAATGCAGTGGTCTTTAGTATAGTCACAGAACTGTGGGCCATCACCAGTCAATTTTAGACAATTTTCATCACCCCAGAAAGTCCATACCCGTTAGCAGTCATTCCCCCTTCCACCACCCCAACGCCTGCCCCCCATCCCCAACAATCACTCATCTACTTTCTGTCTCTACAGATTTGCCCACAATGGAAATTTCATACAAATGAAATCATACAAAGTGTGGGCTTTTGTGACAGGCTTCTTACACCTAGTATAATGTTTCCAAGCTTCACCCATGTTATGGCACAAGTCAGTGCTTCATTCCTTTCTTAGGCTGGATAATATTCCATTGTATGAATACACTATGTTTTGTTTACCCATTCTTCTGTTGATGGAAATTTGGGTCGTTTCCGCTTTTGAGCTATTACGAATAGCACAGCTGGGAACACTGGTGTAATGTTAAAAAGGATAGTTAGGGAAGGTGGAGGAGATAAGGGGCAAGCCACGCAGATATACTGGGGACAGATCATTTCAGGCAGAGGGAAAAGCAAGTGCAAAGGTCCTGAGGCAGAAGTAAGCCTGACATTGCAGAGAAGGAAGCTAGTGAGGCAGAAGTGGAGAGAACAAAGGGAGGAGCAAGGAATGAGTCAGAGTGGAGTGGGAAGCCTGAGGGTGAAGGGCCTGCACTCTGGCTGTGATGAGAAGCAGTGGGAGGGTTCTTGTGGATACTGCTGCTTCCTAATAGGACTACCTGACAACCAACCAGAGATGGGCCCACTTCTCCCACTCGCTGGCTCAGGGTTCTCACTCACCTGACCGCGGTGGTACTAAAGGAAGCAGAGGAGCGAGTAGAGATATAAGGGTAGTGCTTGGTATCAAGTTTGTCTTCAATTGTGTCCTGGAAAAAAAAGAGACAGATATTGGGCTTTTGCCATTTGTTTGAGAAGGGCCAACAGAACCAAGGCAAGATGATTCAAAGAGCAAGTCACTTAGCACAGTGACATGGCCAAGTTTGCAACAACCCAGGTGCCTAGCACTGGGCTCTGCAGGGACCAGACGCCCTACGACTGGCTGGTGCACTGAGATCAGTCTGCAGGTCTGCCTCTTTAAGAGAAGTTAAAAAAAACAAAAAAACCAAAAAACTGCAATGGGGCGCCGAGCTGGCTCAGTCAGAAGAGCACGCGACTCTTGATCTTGGGGTCCTGAGTCCAAGCCCCATGTTGGGTGTAGCGATGACTAAAAAAAAACTTTTAACAAAACTGCATTCATTTTTCTTGCTTCCCTTCTAATTTGTTTTTTTCTTTTTCTTTTACATTCTATGTGAGGTTATAAATGTTGCATTCTGTCCAATAAATTCCTGACACTTGCCATCAGTCTTGGAGAAACTAGGCATAGGCAGTCTCTCGGGCAAGACAAGATCTTACACCTTCAGTTTTCCAAGGGTCTAATTATCCAGTGGGCGGATTCCAGCTATGCACCTCCTGCTGTCTAGAAATCCCCATGCCTCCTAACAGCTACCATGGGAAGCTGACACACACACACACACACACACACTCCCTCAGGGGGAGGGGGAGAGGGGCAGGAAAAGGGAGCAGAGAATGAAGGAGCAAATGAGATGGGGGTGGGCTTTAATTACATTACAAAGAAATGTAACTGGTTCCTAGATGTTCATGTTCACCCATCCTTTTGGTTTGTGGGTTTTAAAAACAGGAAGTTGACTCACTATACATATTTAAAGTATACTTATTTTAGTAAGTCCGCAGGAACACAGACTGCTTGAACTGACAAAGGAATTCTGGGAAAGTCCCCTCATTGTCAGGACCCCCGTCTTGTCCACCTACAGAGAGCAGGAGCTGGACAAGGTAGCTCCAAGACCCACCCTGAAGGTCCAGTGGGGCAGGATTCTAAGCGGGGTTTCTTGAGCTACAAGCAGAGAGCGGAGAGACAACTCACCTTCACAGATACGAAACACCTACTATGTCCAAGGCACAGTGCCAGAGGACACATGAGTTGAGGGCAGAGGTCAAGGTATAAAAAGCTGACTCCAAACACTGAACAGATACGTGTATGTAAAGGGCAGCCCCGACACACTACAGGAGTCTGGGGCAGCCTCTTCGGTGCCGGGAGGTCACACAGGGGCAGTGCATGGGAACCGTCAGACCCGATGGGGACTCTGAAGGCAGGCAGGGCTCGGAAGCGGAAAGGGAGAGCACCACAGGCAAGGGATGGATGTGAACAGACGAGCAGAGGCAGAACCATGCCTGGCAGGGTCCCTGACTAACGGGGTGTCTTAGGGAGGGACGGGCTCGGGTCGCATCCTGAAGGCCCCTCCACACCCGCACCCTCGGAGTAGCACTCGTTACTCATCTGACCTATAGGTGCCAGATGTGTTTGGTCCTTTGGATACAGCACCATCGAGGGGTCTCTACTCTGGGGCTATGTCATATAGATCATGGGGGTCTGCATCTGGTGGCCTCTGGGGACAGCTCTCCCTAAACCCTGAGGACAAGGCTATGGGGCCTAGAAGAGCTCTGAAACTGGATACAAATCCTCCGGGACAGATAACCACCCCAGGCTATCACCACCAGCCCACAGCAGGTGAAGCTGGAGGCCTCTGGGCCTGTAGGCAAAGAGCCCCAGGCCCTGGCTGTCCCCCACATAGCCTCACAGCCCTCCCTCACTGACCTCCATGATGTCTTTAATGATTGGGGTCCACCGCGAGAGCTGGTAGGTCTGCTCGCTGATGCGCTCCTTCCGCTCTGGCTTGCTCCTGCGGCGCAGTGTGGACTAAGTGCAAACACACGTGACATTAGATGGAGTCAGGGGTCATCTGGGCCCCTGCGACTTTGCTGGCCCTTGGAAATTGCTCCTGAGGACTCCCTTCAGAGAGTCAGCACTGGCAGAGTACAAAGTGGGAGGAGTTTTCCTGGAAAAGTCCAGCGTGTGCCCCTTGGGCTTTTGCCCAAGAACTTGGAGCAAACTTGGTTCTTTAAAGCCATGAAAAATGGCAAATGTGGGTCAAATATATAAGTGTCATTCAAAAAACTCCTTGTAGTGGGGTCCCTGGGTGGCTCAGTCAGTCAAGCGTCTGACTCTTGGTTTCAGCTCAGGTCATGATCTCAGGGTCATGGGATTGAGCCCTGCGTTGGGCTCTGTGCTCAGTGGGGAGTCTGCTTGAGATTCCCTCTCCTGGGACGCCTGGGGTGCTCAGTTAGGCATCTACCTTTGGCTCAGGTCTTGATCCCAGGGTCCTGGGATCAAGTCCCATATGAGGCTCCTTGCTCAATGGGGGGCCTGCTTCTCCCTCTGTCACCCCCTCCTGCTTGTGTGCTCGCTCGCTCGCTCTCTCTGACAAATTAAGTCTTAAAAAAAAAAAAGAGAGACAGAGATTCCCTCTCCCACTCCCTCCCCCTCTGTCCCTCCCCCCACTGGTGCATGCATTCTCTCTCTCTCCCCATCTCTCTAAAGTAAATACATAAAATCTTTAAAAAAAAAAAATCCTGGTAGTTAAAAACATAGTTTGCTTCAGTTATAGGAGAAAAGACTGTTTTGGGTAGGACTTGGTCTTTGATTTTGCTTTGACAGTCTGGGTGCATGAGTAAACCATCTCCATTCCCATTTGGGTGCCTCTTGTGAAAAAGAATCTAAAAACACCAAACTACCTCCAGTTCTAGGTCCCTGGTCTGGGCTCAGGGACAAAGTTTTTGACTCTAATATTCCAAAAGAAGTACATTTGCAACTCCAGCTTTATAGCACCATTGTGTGAACAACTCCCCATAGGAAGAAAGTATAGAGTGAGGTTCCTAGCAGAGAGATCTGAAGAGTGCTTGGGCCTCTTCCTTGAGTTCTGGAGCTCCCCCGACCCCCAGCCTCTTCTAGAGTGTGCGGTGGGGTCGGGCTTCCTAGACAGCCTGCCCTGGCCTGGTTCTGAATCATCACCAGTGAAGAACCAAGTGGCAAACCTGCTTGATGCTAACTAAGCATTGTGCTCTCACCCTCAGAGAAGATGCTGGACCTGGGTGTGCAAAGGCAGAGCCAGACTGACCTCAAGACACAGAGAATGAAGCCGGCGTGACTCCTGTTTGAGGCTGGTGCAGACACAGCTCAGCTTTAATGACTCTGTGCAGATCTTGGTTCTGGGAGTAACACTTCTATTTTATTACATCTCTCTATACCTTTATTCCTCTGATTTTATGTTTTTTCTTTCTCAATGTTGAGTGTATGTATCATAAGCCACCTTAAGTAAATCGGGAGAAAAGATAAGACACGCCAGCTTCTCTTCTGCCTCTCCCTCCCCATATGCAAGGCTGGCGCCTTACATCAGTGACGATGGGCACCCCTAGGTGCGCCATGTTGGTGATGATCTCGCTGTCCTCTGGGGGGATCTGGGCATGCTGGATCAGTTTATTCAGGTTCTCCTCAGTGATGCCTGCGAGAACAAAACCCCTGGTCACCACACCCAACCACCATGCATCACACACTCAGAAGCAGAACCAGTCGCCTGAGGGGGGACAGTGCCCCTTCTCAGGGTTAGTAGAAATCAATCTTCACCACATCAACTTTACTGTAAGATGAGGACAAAATCAGCATTTTGATTCCACTCTAGCCACTCTGTCCCAGGCTTTGACCATCAGCAACTGCCCCATTATGGTCTATATTTCCACCCGTCTCCGGCTTCTCAGCCATCCCTGCCCACCCCCACCCACATCGAAGTCAAGAGTCTCAGTGTCCATCTCCTGCACAATGGACACTTATGGGCAACTATAATGTGGGTAAAAATCAGTTATTTAAAGGCAGAGTTACCAATGTGATGCAAGTATCTGGCAGACATGCTCTCACAAACTGGCTTTGCAGTCAGTGGCCTCTCCCCGCTCCCACCCGTCTCTTCCAGAGACGCCACACCTTTATTACCACTAGAATTAACTGCCTCTAGTTGCAACTCATTTGCTTACATTTCCCCAAATGTAAAGAGCCCCTGGGATTTCCGTATTAAATATCCTTTCCGGGGCGCCTGGGTGGCTCAGTCGTTAAGCGTCTGCCTTCGGCTCAGGTCATGATCCCAGGGTCCTGGGACTGAGCCCCACATCGGGCTCCCTGCTCGGCGGGAAGCCTGCTTCTCCCTCTCCCACCCCCCCGCTTGTGTTCCCTCTCTCCCTGTGTCTCTCTGTCAAATAAATAGATAAAATCTTAAAAAAAAAAAAATCCTTTCCATGTCTCCTAAACTACTTTCTCCTTTGCCTCCTCTCTCCCACCTGCCTCACTTGCCCAAGGACGGGCCTCCCCGCTCTTCTCCATCCCACCATTCCTACCATTCTTCAAGAAGATGTAGAGAAGGATGATGCGGATTTTGTCGTAAGTGCTGACATTTGCATCCAGCAGAATGGGGACGATGGCTCTCATGGGGTCCTTGATCTTCTCCCCTTCAGCATCTGTGCCCATGGCCAGGTCCTGCAGAAAACACACCACACTGGCCCCATCCCTGGCGACGGTCTGGATGGATGGGAACTATTAGACAACTGGTGGTCCGTAAATGGGATTTGTCGCTTGGCTGGGGAAGGTCCTATGTAGGGGCTTCTGCTCTCACAATGCCCCGTAATCAGCACTGGTGTCATCAGCATTGTTTTATATAGCGTCAGTGAGAAGTGATGACAGCCCCAGGGTTCACTTTGCAAAAACAGAAACCACCATGATTTTTTTGCCATCTTGTTTGAAGGTAGGCTGCTCCCTCCGGGTGAGTACCCATGTAGCTGTGCTGACTCCGTGGGTCAAGACTCAATCCTGGTGGGGCCTCTAGAGGTACAAAGCCCTGCTGAGGGATTGGGGCTGAAAGGGTTGCCTTCCCACACATGAAAAGCTTTGGCATTTTAAGGGGCCACTGCCTGGCTAGACTCTTCCCATGTGCTCCCCCTTGGCGCTGAAGGACATGTTTTTTGAGTTTTGAGCTACTCTATGTTTTTGACCTGTTTTTAATCTTCCAACCACTTTCAGGGCGAGGAGAAAAACAAGGGCTCCCGAACTTGCAAATCCAACCCAGAAAGATGAAGGAGGAGAGAGGGGCTGGCAAAAGAGGGAGGATGAGAGAGAGCACAGTGACAGCCCCCGCTTCACGACTCAGGGAAGAGTCATATCCACTGTAGAGAGGCCAGAGAAGGTGGCACATCAGCCTGAGGAAACCATGAACCGTTCACTCTGTTCTCAAAGACCAATGGCTGCAACTCCCCCTGAAGCCCGGAAAGGGCTTGCCTGAAGGTTCCCTCCTCTAAAGACCCCATGAGTCCATAACCATCATGGTCTCGAGTTCGTGGTCTGTCCAGGTCGAGGAAGGTGGGTGCCCCCAGGCCCCTTCACCTCTCAGAGCTACCACCATCCTCAACAGACATTTGTGCAGTGGGATCTGAGTCTAATACTCTCTAAAGGCCCAATCAAATATAACAAGTTCAACAAATACTATGGAGCACTTCTGAAAAAAATGTATGCTTTGAAGGGATTCATCCCGACTGCATTTTTACTGATATAGGGATACCCTATTTTCCAGACAGTCCAGTTCTTTTGCCAAGATCGCCCATGAAACTGATGGACTTCTGCAGGGTCACTTCCCCTTGGAAGAGCGTCAATGAATCAGGACAGGTCTGACAAACCCAAGCTGGCCTGTCACATCACGCCAGAAGATGTAAATCTTAGCTTCACACTGAGAACCTGAGCCGTTCTTTCTCACTGCGGCTTCACACTTGCTTAATGCCCTCCCTTGCCTTGGAAGCTGACCCTAGCTGAGGAATGTTCTCACACTTGGAGAATGGAGGGCCAGGATTAGTGACTCCACACAACACTCCTGGAAAATGTGGCAGCATTGTTATTTCCTTTTGCAGATGAGGAAAATAAAGCAGAAATAGGCACATCAAACAATCAGTGACAGAGACAGAATTCAAATCCCAAACTGCTGACTTTCAGTCCTAATCGTGATCAGGGAGGCTGTGGGTGAGTTTCTGACATGCTACTGCCCTAGCTTTTCTCAGCATCTAGGTCTCCAAAGCTGGTGTGGTCACAGCAGGAGAAAAATACACTCAGAATATAAAACTCAGCCAGCCTTGTCAGTGTAGGGCTCAGAGATCCATGTATCTCTCTTCAGACATTCCAAGGAGCCAGTAGAAAGTCAGACATGCAAAATCCAAATGACACAGCATTCCAGACCAATCTAGTCCCTACCATTGAGAGTGGAAGTGCATTGATTGGCTCCAGAGTTGAGACAACGTGATCTAGTAGACTTCTATATCCTATGATTCTGTGGGATGTTCAAGGTCAGATGTTACAATTCAGCTGGGTCAGTGGGCATGGCAGAAAGAGAAGGAAAAGGTCCTACCTGCTCCACTCGGCAGAGTTTATCCACGGTGCCTTGGTAATGCTTCATGCAGTCTTCGGCCAGGTGCAGGTGAGTCGAATACTGGGAAAAAGCAGAGAGTGTGTGATCAAGAAATCACTCGCTCACAAGAAATCACTCATGCAACATCTACTGAGCTCCTACAACGTATAAACACTGTGCAATGCAACGAGGAGATTCCAGCCTCATAAAGGAGATAAAACATGCTTTCCAGCAGGAACACAAATATATCATGACAGAAAATTCTGTGTGTCAAAAGAGAGGAACAGGGCGCCTGGGTGGCTCAGTCGTTAAGCGTCTGCCTTCGGCTCAGGTCATGATCCCAGAGTCCTGGGATCGAGCCCCGCATCGGGCTCCCTGCTCTGCGGGAAGCCTGCTTCTCCTTCTCCCACTCCCCCTGCTTGTGTTCCCTCTCTCGCTGTGTCTCTCTCTGTCAAATAAATAAAATCTTTAAAAAAAAAGAGAGAGGAACAAATCGCATTCCTAAAGGAGGCAAGTGGAGGGAGGAATCCTTTATGGGGGTAGGGTGATACAATGGTTCTACAATGCGTCCAAGAATTCTTTGATACCCCTCCTTCTAGGAGGTGGAGTTTAATCCCCCCCCGCCACCGAGTGTTGGTTGGATTCAGTGACTTGCTTCTAACAGAGTGTGGAAGACACGATGTAGGACATCCCAGGTCAGGACAGAAAAGGCACTGTGACTTCCTCCTGGCTCTCTGCCTCAGGTCACTCACTCTGGAGGAGGCCAGCTGCCATGTCATGAGCACATTCAAGCAGCCCAGGGGAGAGGCTCGTGAGGTGAGGAATTGAAGGATAAAGAGAGAAAAGGATGAAGAGGAGAAAAGAAAGTCATAGGAAGTTACCCAGCCTCACAGCTTTTCCTAATAAAACTGGAAGTTGATTAAAAACTTGTGGATTTCAATGTATCAGTCAGTACAGAGGGGCTCTGAGAGGTCTTACTGCAACTGTTTATACTCAAGATTCAAACCCATCATTTGGGATGGTCGTACCTTACTGAGCTCTTTCTGGTACTGGGGCATCTTCTTCAGCATCTGGGACAGGTCCCGCATGGTAGTCTACAAGGGGAAGGAAAACATATGGTCTCACTCCAATGGTCCTGACCTAGGAGGCTTTGCAAGGGTGGGAGGCACAGGGCAGGACAGGAGCCAGCACCAGACTTCCCAAGTGCATGCTCAGAAACTCTCGAATCTATTAAGCCCGAGATCACTGTGGGTTTAGATTTCCAGGCCTCTGGTTCAAAAAATTATTGATCCAAATACCGTAACCATCTTATAGGTGGGGAACTGAACTCCAAAGGGTAGCAATTATGTTTTATTTATTGGACTAGAAAGTTACTGAGAGCAGAATTCTTGCCAGGAAAGAGCAATTTTTCTTCCCCGTGCTGCTTTTCTGCATACTCAGCTCAAGCAGTCTTGAAATTGAGTTCACATTTCATCCCAGCAGAAAGGCTACAGTTGTTAGACAGGTAGAAAGAAGGAAGAAGCTGGGAAAGGGCTGGGATGTGCACCCTGACAGGTGAAAGAGGTCTGTTTACTTGCTAACTGTGTGACCCACCTAATTCCACTCTTAGCCAACAAAAATTTATTGAATTACTACTATATACCAGGTGAGGTGCTAGAGAGACAAGAACAGAACAAACAAAAAAGAGAGCTTCTTGCCTTTGAGGAGCTACCATCTAGCAGAGGAGCCATTCTGACTGAGATGATTAGTGTTCTTCGGGAAATCACAAGTGTGGCTGCATAGGTGCATAGAGGCACCTCACTAGTCTAGGGGGGAGTAGGGAAGGTTTCCCTGAGAAAATGATGACTGAGCCAAAGGACCAGGACTTCACAAGGCAAGGCCCAGGCAAGGAAGTCAGGCATGGCTGGAGCAAGGTGGTGGGTACAAGCAGGTGGGGGGCAGACCTGAGAGTCTGGGGAGCCTGATGGCCTGGTGCTATAAGGTGTGTCCATGAGTGAGTGAGACTTCTACTGGGAACAGAGTCACCAAATGGTTTTAAGCAAGCTTAAAATACAATCAGAGCTGTATTTGCCTTGACCACGATGGGTAAACCACCTCTGATGAACCCATATCAGGGTAAGGAGAGGACCAGGCAAGTTACGAATTCTAATTCCACCACAAGCTAAAAAAGGTTTTTAGTTCTTCTGGCTTAAACTGAATTATGATCTAAAACAGTAAATATTAATCTTCAGGGTAACAAAATGAAGATCTCTATAAACATCAAAAGATGAGGGCTCCGATCTTAATCTTGAATGCAAAAATAAGACAAAATGATATTAGATGAAGAGGTGACAATAACCCCCTAACTCATTAGTCCTGTGCCATGGAGGCACCCTGCCAACCAGCTCCCAGAAAGAAGACAGGAATTAGCCTAAAGGACATTGGAGCTCTAGTATGCATTTACCTTCTCTCCAGTATTCATTCTCTTGCTGGAAGAAAAATCTTTCAGAGAACGGGTGACTTCCCTAGAAGACAGAAGGAGGCAGCTAAGTTTCACAGCAACGCCTTGGGCCTCCATGTGGATGCTACAGAAATGGTGCGAGATTCTTCCTTTAGGAATATGTGGCAACTTTTCCTGCCAGTAAGGTATGCAGGTAAAGTGATTTGTGAAGAAGAGAGAGAGGGATACATCATTTTCCTAACTAATATTCTAAACCAAGGTCTCCAGAGGGGGGTGTACAGGATGATTTGAGAGAAGAAATTATTAGTACATTTATTTATGTTTACTTTACTCCATCCTTCTTAAATTTATGGTTTTGTATATACTGTAAAACATATATATTACTACAATTAACTATATAGTAAATTCATAAATAAACTTGCATATTGGAAATGTGAAGGAACATCTTCCTAAGGTTGAGTGATCCAAAAAGTTTGGGGCCACTTTTCTGAACAACTGAACTATCCAAGACTGTGTTATTGTCCCAGTCTTCCTTGTGAATTTACTGAGGATATCACCAACTCAATGTAGCAGACAGAAAGTCTTTCTGTAAGCGGCACCTGGGTGGCTCAGTCATTAAGTGTCTGCCTTTGGCTCAGGTCATGATCCCAGGGTCCTGGGATCGAGCCCCGCATCGGGCTCCCTGCTCCGCGGAAGCCTGCTTCTCCCTCTCCCACTCCCCCTGCTTGTGTTCCCTCTCTCGCTGTGTCTGTCTCTGTCAAATAAATAAATAAAATCTTAAAAAAAGAATGTCTTTCTGCAAAAGCAGAATTTTTATTTATAGCTTAATTCAGGTGTTAGGGGCACCGGAATGGCTCATTTGGTTAAGCATCTGCCTTTGGCTCAGGTCATGGTCCCAGGGTCCTGGGATCGAGCCCTGCATCAGGCTCCCTGCTCGGTGGGGAGCCTGCTTTTCCCTCTCCCATTCCCCTGCTTGTGTTCCCTCTCTCGCTGTGTCTCTATCAAATAAATAAATGAAATCTTAAAAAAAAATTCAGGTGTTATAAACAGTTTGAAACATCTTCAGAGCAAGGTACGGGTTCTATATATACACATCAGCTCTTGCTTGGAAATTTTAGGGATGACAATAGTGGAAGAAGATGACACACCTGCTATATAAAAGAAAATCGAATTGGTGCAGTGTAATCTGGATCTTTCAATGGAAGGAACTGGCTTTATTTATTTATAAGTAGGCTTTATGTCTAACGTGGGGCTTGAACTCACGACCCTTAGATCAAGAGTTTCGTGTCTACTGACCTAGCCAGCCAGACGCCCCAGGCACTGGCTTTAAACATTTAGTGTTTACAAAGCATTTCCTGAGAGCTACCGATGTTTTCTAAAAATACTAAGAGCCACCTGAACACAGAGTGGACTTTCTCACTTGGTGAAGTTGGTGTCACTCGAGCTGAGATTAGAAGGGCTTCATCATCACTGGTTATCACGTGGGTGAATTCATCCACTGAGCAGCTCTGTGCTAGTTGCCCAGAGTGCGCACATGAGCAACTGCCATCTGGAGAAAAGGTTTGGCCTGTACTCTGGGGCGAGCCCTGGAGCTGGGGAGGCAGGGGTGGCTGGGGTCCCTGGGAGGGGTGGGGGCAAGGGGCTCTTACTGGGACACTTCCGCGATGTGCTTGTGGCGCAGGGCTATCCAGAGGTCATCATCCTCGTCCAGGAGCACCTCCTTCACCCGTGCCTCTCCAATGCCACTTGTCTCGTACCTAGAGAGGAGGCATCCCCACGAAATTCATCCAACCGCCCCGCCGATTTGTAACAGACGAGAGCTTACAGGCCTCAGCAGACAGATGTTCTCACGGATGATTCTACCACAGGCCTGCGGCCATCTGAGGGGTCACTGTCCGTAGCAGGTTTGCTGGATCAGCACCTGACACAGCAGCAGTTTCTCGGGCAGGGAGAGACCCAGAGTCAATGTTTTAAAATCTGCAGGGGCAGCCGGTATGTACTCAAGTCAGGATACAGGTGTGTTCAGAGCTACTTGTAAGGGAAAGTCAAAGATCACGCTTGCTCCTTCCTGCGAAGGACCAGGATACCATCCTCAAACATGTGGTACCTAAATTTTCAGTTTTAAAATCAGGTACCTGCAACAGGTCCCCAGCATATTTTTACATGTGAAATCACGAACATCTAAGGGAAAGCAAGAATTACAAGTACCAACAGGGAGGAAAACTGACATTCAGTCACATTTTTAGAACCTCAGTTTTGAAACCACATGAGAACAATACAGTCTGTTTCCAAAAAAAGAAAAATTAGTTTTTAGAAACTGAGTTTCGGGTGATTGTTACCAAGAAAAATGTTGTTTATAATGAAGAAAACAGCTCCTTTGCAAATAAAGTAAGAAACTTCTGTTGATATATTTTATTATATTTCATGACCTATAAGAAGCTTTAACTCCGAATAAGATATGCATACACATGTGCGCACATAGACACACACATACACACACCCAACATATGAACCCCTTGAGCAGGCTCTGAGCTGAGGTGACATGAGCCGTGAACTAAAGATCTAAAGTTCTTGTTCTCCCCAAAGGGGCACGAGCTCCTGGCTGCTGATGATACATAGATTTGGGAACTCACAGAAAAGCTTGCAGGTTCATTAGCAAGACTCTATCAATGCATCTGCTTTCCCTGGGATGAAAGACATCCTTTTTCTTAGGTCAGAGGTGCATTTGGTTTGCTTGCAAAGCTGTACCAGGTCTGTACACTTACTTGTATACATCATTTTCAATGGGCAGCAGGTCATAGCTCATAGCCTGAAAAGTCAATTCATGAAGCACGGGGGAGCTGGGGTCGAAGCCGCGGTCCAGGATCAGGAGCTGGGAGCGCGCCTTGTCTGGGCCCTGGAAGGACAGACACGAGGAAGGCTTTCACAAGCCACCCATACAACTCCAGCCTCTCCCACTGGTACAGCTGCCCCTCCTGTAAAAGCAGCCCCAGGAAGTGACCTCTGAGATAAAACCTACTAAAATAGCACTGACTAGTCCATTTGCTACTTGACAGGAACACCAGTAAACACCATGCAAAAATCCAGTATGTCTATTTCCTAATGAGGGTCCTTTAAAGTAGATCCAAAACTGTGGCTGAGGTCCAGAGTGAGCTTATGAAGGAGAGCACCACCTGGGTTTGCTTATAAATAGGGTGACCCACCATCCAGTCTGCCTGGGACCCAGGGGGTTCCCAGGACCTGGGACTTTTAGTTTTAAAATTATGATAGTGATAGAACAGTTCTGTCCTGATTGCAGTGGGGGTTATGTGGATCTTTACTTGTGATGAAATTGCACAGAACCATCCACACGTGCGAGTACACGTACAAACTAGTCAAATGTGATAAGGGCTGGAGATTGTGCCAGTATCAATTTTCTGGTTTTGATACTGTACTTACCATTGAGGGTGTTCCCAGGACGCAGGACTTTCAGTGCTAACACTGGGAAAGTCCCAGCAAACAAACACAGGTTGGGCACCCTGGCTACACGGAGCAGAATCTGTATCTCCCCCACCCAAGGGCTCGAGCATCTCACTGAAGGCCAATGTGTAGGACAGTGGCACTCATGCACACTCTGTGAGCAACAGAACCCAGCTGTCCCCAGGACTGCCATACAAACACTGTGGTCACTTGGCGAGAGAGCCACGTGGACCAACTCCAGACTTACCTCACCCATTGTTGGGTCATCGGCTTTGTAGGCATCGAGCTTGTCCTGGATTAGCTGAGCCAGCAAAGCATTGTCCTTGTATTCCCTGACAAAGGAGGAGTGACACAGGGTGAACTGGCCATGCACCCACCCGACGGCACTGACTGTCCTCAGGGTGGAAGGCAGGAAGTGCAAGGAGGGTCAGGGGAGATAAGCTTCACCTGTATTCTTCTTTTACACTGAGGATATATTCATGTAATACACATATAATTTAAAATGACAAATAAAACACTTTGCTCAGTGCCTGGAACATAAATGATTTTCTAGTTCCTTTTAAAAAAAAAAATCCAGGGGCACCTGGGTGGCTCAGTCGTTAAGCATCTGCCTTCAGCTCAGGTCATGATCCCAGGGTCCTGGGATCGAGCCCTGCATTGGGCTCCCTGCTCAGCAGGAAGCCTGCTTCTCCCTCTCCCACTTCCCTTGCTTGTTCCCTCTCTCACTGTGCCTCTCTCTGTCAAATAAATAAATAACATCTTAAAAAAAAAAAAAATCCAAACGGATATAGAGGCAGTCTTTCCCCCTGGCTTCAGAAAAACCACCACACTTCAGCAGAGGGTCCTGGCCATCCACTCTCCTCCCATGATCAGGTTGTCTGAGCCTCAACCCACCTGATTCTCACTTCCCTCAATTCAAATCCCCTTGGGTCCTGTTTTGTGTTGTTGGCAGGTGACACTTCTGCTGGTAGAGCCAGAAAGATATAAGTGAGAGCCGGGGGACCTTTCCCCTTGGCCAGGCCTGACAGCACTTCCCAGGGCTCCTCCCAACTGTATAGAGAGTGTGGCTGCCGCCTGTCACCTGGCCAGGCTCAGTGCTGAAGCAGCTCCGTTCCCATTCCACTCCTTCCACAAATGAACTCCAAGCTCTCCCGATCCTGTCAGGAGATATGGCCTGGCCCCCATTTCTTAATTTCCACTGGGCTTTTGTCAGCGAATACCAATAATAGAGGGAGGGGCTTTTCCACGGCTGCACATTCCAGCAGACAAGGAGTCAGTAAGGACAGGCTGCCACAATGGTCCTTGGCACCGCCAGTTCAGGCCCTTCCCTCCCCCTGCAGCGGCCACCGCCCTGGGTCCCTCTGATTCACTGCTGCTCTCACTCCCCCATGCAAATTCTCCCAAAGGTCCCCAGTGATAACCACTGAACAACATAATCCCAAGTCTGGCCTCCAAGGCCTCCAGGAATGGCTTCAGAGTTGGCGCACTGAGTTGCCCTCCAGAGACGCCCCACAGCCCTCCACAGTCACTCTGCCAGAATGCCAATCCTCCTCAAATTTGCCCTTTGCTTTCCCAACTCCAAACTTCTGTTCACCCCAACGGCAAGAGCCAACTGTCCACACAAAGTACCCTGTGCTCCTCATCGGTCTACTGAGATCTGAAACCGCCCTTTAAGACCTTGTTCAAATGTCACCTCTGGTCTGAAGCCCTTCTTGACCCCCTCAGCTCAAAGGGCCCTCTCCCAACTCTGGATGTCCAGGCCCTTGTCCTGTGCTAAGTCACTGGTCTTGTAGGCCCTGTAGTTTAGGTACGCACAGCTTATGCACACATGTGTCGGTATGCATGTTACCCACCCCTCTAGATCAAGGGCTTCTAAGCGCCGGGGCTGTGCCTTCAAGGTAAGTACTCTCTCCCCAGCACTAAGCACATAGCAGATAAGTAATAAGTGAATGACTTTATAAAATCTGGGGAATATGTCCTTTGGAGAATTATCCTTGTATTTTATCTTACTCCAGAACACCTTCTACAAAGACGGTATTTGTTTTGAAAGGTTAGAAAGAGCTAAAAGTCCACAGGAAGCCTGGATTGTGGTTACACAGGGGGTTCACATTTAGCTATTCAGTAATTGAATATATATATTTCATGCCCTTTTCTGGATGCATTATTACATTTCACAATAAAATTTAGAGACTATCAAAAACACTGGAAGAACGATTATAAATGCAAGATACTTAAATCTTGACCCTCTTGAGACAACTGCCAGAAGAATCTCAAGACAAAAGGAAGCTACTCGCCCAGTGAGCACATGGAGGCCACTGAAGGCAGACTGGCGCGCTGCCTTACCCCCGATACCGCACAGCTGGGTACTCCTTCAGGGTGGCACACAGAGTTGCAATCTGCTCTGCCAGGCGCTCCAGTATAGGATTCTTCATCTGAGCCTTGTGGGGACTGTAGAAGCTCTGGAAAGAGTCCGCAGAGTCCAAGGAATACACCTGAGAAGGAAAAGAAACAAGAAAAAAAATTATATATCATGTTTGCATCCAGAATGGTGAACTGTTGGGAGTTTTCTCCAACCTTGGTAGTGAGTCTATAAAACATATTCTCATTTATTCTACAAATATGTGCTGGGTGTCTGCGGCAGGCCAGGCATTGTGCTAAACACTTGGGAACTATCAGTGACCAAAACATGACTGTCCTCGAGGAGTGCACAATCTTACAAAAGAATAACATAACCATAAACAATAAGCATAATGAAAAGTAAACTATATGATATGTGAGAAACTGGTTTAAGTATATGAGAACAGGACAGAGCAGGGAAAGAATGCCTGGAGGGCAGCCGGGAGGGAGGACAGCAGGCCTCCTTGAGAAGGTGATGTACGAGCAAGGGCTTCAAGGAGGTGAGGAGTTTCTCACCAGCAGGAGACTTCCACATGGAGGCAATAGCTAGCGCCAAGGCCCTGCGGCAGGCATGTGCTCAGAGTGTCTGATGAACAATGAGGAGGCCAGAAGAACAGGAGAGGAGGTTAGTATAAAACCTTCTAGGCCATTATAAGTTTAGGTTTTTATAAGTAAGGGACAGGCTGGAAATCATCTGTGACTGGGGCAGATAAAGGAGCTTTTTATGGATTTAATAATTTCCTATCTTCAGTAATACACTGTCAGTATTTTTCTTCTTATTCTAGAAGTTTAAAATTTCCTCTTAAATTATCTAGTCTATCAGCTATCAGTATTTTCTCAGAATCTCACTTTTGTCAACTACCCTGATCTTCTAGAAAACCCGTGGTTTAAAAAAAAAAGTTTATTACTTTTTAAAAATATATGAAATGTAATCTGGTTGAATATACTAAAGTTGTGTTTTGTTAAATCCAGGTAGGCTCACACAGAGAAAAAAATTCCTGCCTTTAAAGCTGGAAACAGGCTTGACGTTAAGTGCTAAGGGAAAGACACTGTCTTTAAGCGTTCACACTGTATGTTCTCCATCCCTCCTTACCCAAGAACAGGTCACTCTCTGATGTCTAGAAGCTAATCTATAAAGATGACATAAGCCACAGTCAACTTTTACAAAATGCCTAAGAGTTCTGTTAGTTTTCTTATTTGCCAGGAGAAGACATGTTAACCGATCTTACAAAATGAAGATATAAATTTTGTATGCTCTCTCACAATCAGCTTCACCTTTACTGGCTTAAAAGCCTAGTTTTTTTCCCAAGGGGAGAGGTTTGTCACCACGCTCCAGCATCTGAAGTGTTAACAGCCACTGACGAAGGCTACCATCTGCTCCTCCAGCAGAGCGTGAGGGAGGTGATCTCTGCACAAAACCAGTCTCCTGTGCAGCAGATGGGTGTTGTCTGATCCCTTCCCCTGCTCTCCTTCCCTGCTCTTTCTGGCTACCTTTGGTTATTCAAGGAGTCAGCCAGTAGGAGTGAACACTGTGAGCAAGGATGAAATGCACACAAAGAAAGGAGTGAGGGCTTTAAAAAAAAAAAAAAAAAGTCAGAAATAACTAGAGTATGATGAGGGCCTCAGGCAGACCCGTAAGGAACACTTGTTTCCATTCCATCAACGTCCATTCAGCAATTCAGAATACGATGTCTTCCTCCCCCACTCTGCTTACTGCACCCCTGTCAGGACCTGCCAGAGCTCCTTACGGAGCAGCGAGGATGCAAACTTTCTACACACTCCCCACTCAGCCTCACCTGGGACTCGTAGGGGAGGAATGCAATGTTGATTTCCGTCAGAGTTTTGATGACCTTGGCTGCCCGAGATTTCACCAGCTCATTAAACAGGGCATCTGGACAAGCTGCAAGAAGCACAAAAGGAGGCAAGTTTTCCCATCCATTTCAGCAGTTGCACACATCTGGGGGATTTTCTATTTTATTAGGAGTTTAAGAAGGCAACTAGAAAGTTCGTCCCATCCTAGAATATCCCCTATCTCTAGAGTACAAAAGGAATGTAAAACCACCTAAAAGGCCCTCAACATCTAAGAGAGAAGCAAATGGCAAAAAAGATACTGAGATACTGAGAGCTAATAAGCTAATAAAACTACTTTCTGATATCAAGGAAAGGAAAAAACCCAAGGGATAAGGAAAAGGCCTGTGATACGAACAGACACCACACATCTGACGTGTTTATGAAAAATGCAATAAGGAAAAATGAAACCACTGGCAAGGTGGTGCAGGCATTTCTCTGGGACACCTGCAGGAGCTCGGCTGCACAAGAGACTCACTTGATGGGGAAACTGGGACTGCCAGGGGCTCTCCTGGGCCAAACAAATGGGTTTGCATTCTCAGAAATGCATTTTCGGTTTATTATTACTAATGTCACCTCTCTGCTCCTTTTTTATGCATATTCAAATAGTATACAATTACTCTTTGCAAGAACCTTTCCCATTTTCTCAGTGGTGAGCTCTGTGGGGCTTTCCCTAAAGAGAAGAATGGTGGGAGCACTGCTATTGCTGAAGTTTTAAGTTAGCCAGGTCAACTCCTCTCCTTTGCTATTAACAAAATTGACCAAGACGATTCTGCACTAGGCTCCATGCGCAAAACCTCCACAAAATAAGAAAGTGAATTCCAGGACAATGATGCAGTTTCCGTCTGCCACCATCACCGCCAGACTGGACTATTTTTGTAGTTGAAAAACTGATGGAGATACAACAGTTTATGGTGATACCTGGAAGTCTATACAGTGAAACATCAAAGCTAGCACTGGAAAATTATTCTCAGCATTAAACCCTCTAGTCCTTAGAAGAGATGCTATTTTTCATCAGGAAGGACGGCATGACTGAGTAGGTTTGTCTTTGTATGTGTTTATTTTTGTCTCTTATGCAATTTATCTTCTGAAGAGAGTATAAAAGCTCAGGAGAAACATGGCAACAACCCATTTCTTCCCTACTGATCAGCCTTGCTGTGCAGAAACGCTAACCTGGAAGGACAGGGGTGGCACCTGCCAGCTCTACTTACAGTCCGTGAAGAAGACATGCGCAGCCCGGTACTTAGCGGTTGGTGGGTCCTTAAAGTCACCGATGAGAGAGTGGACAGACTGTAGAGGAAAAAAAGAGGGAACTGAATCCAGTTCTAGAGGCAAATGGGACCTATACCTGAACTGGGTTAAATCCAAGCTGCTTGTGCAAAATAGCAGGGGATTTTTTAATATACAATTCATGTTTGCCCATAACAGAGTTCTGAAGACTTAAAATTAGGATTGTTTCAGAGTTTAGATGAACAAAGCCTTCTTAGCTCATTCCGGAAGACAGAGTCTGTTCTTTGGAGCCACTATAACTTGGGTTCCTGAGAAGATATTCACAGAAGAAGAAACGGGTCAAATACTTTCTAGGCAACTCACACTGATGAAGTTCTGGCAACTTCAGATGTAAGCCAGTTTTCAAAAGTGAAAAGAAAGGGAATGGAAAACTGAAGGGAATTTATACAGATTAAGAGACCTAAGAAAACTATCGACCAAATGCAAGGAGGTGCATCTTGTCTGGATACTGACTTGAACCAACCTCCCAAAATGTTAAGACAGGTAATTTTCAATACAACCTGGATATGATGATATAGACCCAAAAGTATAAAATGCCAGAGTTCTGAAGGTGGGTCACTAATTAGACACAGTGGATCTCCTCCCTAGAGAAGGAGTGCAAGAGGGGGGAGTTAGACTGACCCGGGCCTCGCCTTCTGGACAGCGGTGGTATTTCAGAGAGCTTAATGCACTCTCACTCCACACCGCACCCCTCCTTCCCTGTTTGTGGATTGCACGCTTAATCAGAGCAGTGTGTTAAATGCGCACTTAACCTAGAAATGTCAGACACTGCCCCACAGACGCCAAGCCGGCACGTGCAACCTTAGCCAAAGCTCCTCCGGGGGTGGGACTTGCCTTCTCAGACGGAGTGATGAGATACACAGCCTCCAGGCTGGGGAGTGGCTCTCTGCGCTTGTTGATGTCTTCCACAACTAGACAACAAACAGCAACCCACAATCAGTAAGAAAACAGAACCAGTGATCATAAATCTAGAAACAATCTAGACAGGCCCCCTTCAGACTGCTGCAGGTGAAAATCTCTGGGGCGAGGGTTGGAAATCACTTGCCCCTTCCTTGGAGTCACCACGTTCCACTGCCTCACAATGCTCAAGAGGTTAGAAAACCTGAAATTTTATCACACTAAGTATTTCCCTTTTCAGTTTAAGGAAACCCCTTGATCTCATGGTTAAAAATGGAAAATCCTACCTCTTTCTGTCACCAACAGTCTTTTACCCCTTCCTTCGGTTTTTTCTCACCTGTCCTAAATAATCCCAAGTCCTTTAGAATGTCCAGGTGGAGATTATCAACAATTGGATAGTTTTTATCATTTTCTTCTGTATGTCACATGAAGATATTACAAACATGCCCTCTATATAACACAGTCCTTCCCAATAGTTCAAAGACTAAACATATTTTGTTAAACCACAAGCATTTGGTTTGCTTGTTTCTTTTACAGTTATGTCAGCTACTTCACCTGGGAAGAAGAGCTTCTGGGATAATCCTCACCTTACCAGCCGCCTGATAAAGCTTAGGGTACTCTATCTCTGCTGTACCGTCCTCTGGTCCAGAGAGAACAGTACAATCACTTGGTGCCATTCTTCCCATGCAGAGGATTTAAGCAAATAAAAGTATCACTTTAGGATGATACCTTGTAACATTTATAAAGACTTTTCACCCCAAATAATATTCAAATACCAAAATCCTTCAACCACCTACTTTACCAGTAGTTATAGATTTCTGAATTTCATATACGAACAGTACTTCCCCCAAAATGTTTTGGGCGTTCCACATAGGAATTGCTAACTTTTCAATTTTGCCAAGCAAAGACCTTTTTTAGAACCCACGTTTGGGAGTAGGGAAAAGTCTGTGTGCAGCAGGGGAAGAGCTGAACCTTCATCTACCACAGGGAGCTAAAAGATAACATCTACCATCAATGAATCCAAAGATAATAGGCTAAGTATTTATCTAGAAATATCAAAAGGATAACCAGAAGAAAGAGCAGACCCTGAGGGAGAAAGGAGTGGGGGCCAGGATGCTGCTGCTTCTTCCTTAGAAGTTCCTTAGCTCCATTTGGCTCTATCCCCCCTTAACTTTTGTGCATTTTTTGCTTTGAGAGAGGAAAAAAATAGCTTTAAAAATTCAATGAAGAGGGACGCCTAGGTGGCTCAATCGGTTAAGTGACCGACTCAGGTTGTGATCTCAGGGTCCAGGGGTGGAGCCCCACATTGGGCTCCTCATTCAACAGGGAGTCTGTTTGGGATTGTCTCTCTCCCTCTCCCTCTGCCCCGCCCCCGGCTCTCTCTCTCTCTCTCTCTCTCTCAAATAAATAAATAAATAAATCTTAAAAAAAAATGAAGAAAATAACTTTGTAATCTCAAAACAGGGGCAAGCCCAGTCTTCGCTCACTGAATGACAAGGAGTCACAGTAAAAACTATGTACTCTCAATTATAGGACTAGGTTTCTGGTGACAGATATACTGGATTTGGAAAAGTGTTTTTAAAAATGAAGGACTTGGGGTGCCTGGGTGGCTCAGTCAGTTGGGCGACTGCCTTCGGCTCAGGTCATGATCCCAGGGTCCTGAGATCGAGCCCCACATCGGGCTCCCTGCTGAGTGCGGAGCCTCTTCTCCCTCTCCCGCTTCCCTTGCTTGTGCTCGCTCTGTCAAATAAATAAATAAAAGCTTAAAAAAAATTTAAAGTAAAAATGAAGGACTCATATCCAAGGTGTGATTATACCCCCCAAATTATTACATATATATTCATATGTATATATTTCACATAGAATTTAATCAATAAGAAAATCCATGATATATTATCACCATAATTTCACAATTTAAAAACATTTTAACACCAAATAATAGGAAAGACATAATCTTAGAATAAAGGACAAACCGTTGAATTAAATTCATTTAGCTTAATGAAATCTCAACCCTCCTAGTTCTTTCTCCCATAGTTGTGGTTTGGTAGTAATTTTGATAAAGACCAGCAACAGTCTGCAAGCCACACATCATATGAAGTCTCCAGGGGAAAAAAATTAGGAAGTAAATTGCAACAGGTGTGTTCCACCCAGCATTTTTTTTTTTTTTCCCCAGAGGAAAAACAAAGGTTAACTTCCTTGTTTGAAACAATAGCTCAGAAGGTATTGCTTTTCAATCTTCTGAGATAACTCAGAAGAGAAGGCTATTCCAAAGATTAAAATACAGGATCCCTCTTGAAAGGAGCCCCCTAACACAAGAGCTACACACAAATGTGAATAAGAGCTCAAGGACAGGAGCCAGAGGTCTGAGTCCCAGTCTCAGGTGTGAGACACTGGCCAGTGACCTTGAGCAGGTGACTTAACTTTTTTAAAAAGCCTATTTGTTGTGAAATTATAACACACAGTCCAAAGAGTGAATAACACATAAACATACAAATAATTACAAATTAAACACCTGCGTCAGTGCCTCCCCAGTTAGGAAACAGAACTGGCCAGGACTAATAGAAGTGCACTTGCCATACCCTCACTCCCCTCCCTCCAGAGAGAACCACTGTCCTGACTTGAATGATATCATTTCTCTTCATGGTTTTACCACGTACACCCGCATTTCACAACAGCATAGCTTAGTTCTGCCTAGTTTTGAACTTTATATAAATGAAATCACACTGTAAATATTCTTTTGTATCTTGTTTCTTTTGCTCAACCTTATGTGTATCAGATCTACCCACGTGCTTGTGAATAGCCAGAGTTCGTTCATTTTCATTGTCTATGGTATTCTATGGGACTATATCATGATTTATTTAAACAATGCTCCGTGAACATCCCTGCATGTGCATTCTGGGCACACATGCCTGAGATTGTCTGGGACACATGTCTAACGGTCTGGCTTGTAGGACACACACACCTTCAACTCTATCAGACACTGCCAGTGTTTTTCAAAGTAACCATACTAATGGACATTGTCATATAGGAGTTCCCATTTTTCTACATCCTATCTGTCACTTGGCATCAACAGAATTTAAATATTCCAATCTGATGAGTATGTATAGCAAGATCTCATTCTGGTTTTAACCAAGGGCAACGTTTCATGGATTTCTTGGCTATTTGGATCTCTTCTTTGTTAAGTCGCTGTTCAGGTCTTTTGTGCACTGTTTCTATTGGTGGCCTGCCTTCTTTCCCTTAATTTAATCTGCCTTTTAGCACCTTTACCAGATATTTAATGATCGTCTAGTACTATACTGGGTGGTAGGGATTTAGCGATAAACAAGAAAGCCTTGGGTCTCTCTCAAGAACTTACAGCCTTACCAGCCCGGCTGTTGGAAGAATGTGAAGTCAAGTGAGATAATAACGAATAGGGAGGGGGAAAGCTCGCCACAAAGAGGAGGCCTGAGTTTCACTCAAGGGTGGAGAGAGAGCTGCGCTCACTTGTTATCCCCTCGGTCATGATGTCTGTCATCTTACAGCAGGAAGACAGCATCCTCATGCTCAGCTGATCGACCACCAGCACCTGGAAGCAAAAAGAACAGCTTACAGCCTGCATGGGATTTGCTATGATTCTCTCATCAGCTTGCTGTGTCAGACTTCAAAAAGTGCCCCAGAAAAATAGAATATTAAGTTATAAATACTTCCTATGGGCCAGAAGTTTGCTAACATACATGCTAGATTTTCTCTCCCAAGCCACACCCAAACCTAACCTTCTAGGAGTTGAGTTTGTTCTTGCTGACTTAATTTTATAAGCTTACAAAATCAAAGTTTTTCCATGATGAAGAAAATGACTACTCATAAAAAAGGCAGAAAAAAAAAAGAAAAAAATCATCTACAGCACCCACACACTCAGAGAAAACCATACTGGAGATTATTTTTTCAGAGCATAAGCTTTTTTTTTTTTTTTTTAACAAGGAGAATGAACACTCGTGCCACACATATGGCATGGAAGATGAGGACTTTGTTGCCAACACCATGAGGATGTACCAGCACAAGTGTTGTCTGGGAGCATTCTCTACCTCAGTCCAGACTGGAAGAACAAGAACATGTCAGTCCTGGTCTAAAAGCTCCAGACCCGCGATTCTTCAGCTAACCACTCCTATCTCCATTCAGCCCACAGTGGAGAGAAGAAGCCATTAACTAAAACAAGGCTATTTCTCTTCCTCTTTAATGACATAAACCGAGGTAACAGGAGCTAGACACAGTGGGGACCAGAAAGCTCTAAGAACCAATTAGTTTTTATTTTATGAGGCAATTTCCTCAAGATTAGTTTGAAATTCACAAGTCCCTGGGCGCCTGGGTGGCTCAGTTGGTTAAGCAACTGCCTTCGGCTCAGGTTTGGCCCAGGGTCCTGGGATCGAGCCCTGTATCGGGCTCCCTGCTCAGCCTGCTTCTCCCTCTCCCTCTGCTGCTCCCCCTTCTTGTGCCGAAAGGCAGGTTAAATCAAGGGGAAGAAGGCAGGCCACCAATAGAAAAAGAAAAGTCTCCGTTAAAAAATAAAACTGACAAGTCCCCAGAGAGAAAGAGCAGGACACGGATAAAAGGAGGATGGACGTGCTGGCTAAAACAGAAGCACACGAGGCTGAAGCGGAGACCAAAACCCTTCTGTACCACGCAGCTCTGCTGTTCCTGGACCAAGTGGACTTGAAAATATGTGGGCTCTTGACTGTGGGACAACTTAGGGGCAAGAATGATTGGTACAAACCCTCCAATGACACATGGGGAAGTTCAAGTAAAACAGCGTGTTTTCCTGGCTCCAGACAACCAAGTGAATTTCTGAGCGGAGGACAGCACGCTTTCCCACTTGAATCACCCACTCTGGTAAGTGAGGACACAATCAATCTGACTGGCTTAAGGACTAGTTTCCAGCATGGCTCTCAATGTTCTGTGAATAAACAAGCTTCCTTCTTTTGTCGTATATAGTCACAGATACATAGGGCTGGACCAGACGAGGGCTTTCCAAACTGTTGTGTGGGCTCCATGGAGATGCTTTCAGGTCACCAGAGGGACTTCCTTCTCTCCCGTAGCAAGCAGAATAATTTCACCTCCTTCCACTTCACAGAAGAGGTTCCAGGCAATATTTTGTTTGAATAAAAGAGTTTCCACTGCTCCTACCAGATGATCTTTAAGAGAAGCTTTATGACCAAGAGATTTCTTCACCAGGACTGCATAAAATGAGGCAGAATAGATTACCTTTTTTTTTTTGTACTCTCTGGACACAGCAAAAGTCTTGATTTCCTATTTATTCCAACTCTATTTTCTTATATTTTCACCATTCTTATATTTTCCACATGAACTCACCTGTTAAGGCCATTAATTGTGCTCTACTTACCTTCCACTCCCCCTTCTTCTTTACCTTCTTTATCACATCATGCATGATCTCTAAAAAAGGAGAGAGAAAAAAAGGAAGGAAGGGGGGAAGGAAGAAAGGGAGGAAGGGAAGGAGGGAGGAAAGTTTAATGCAATATTAACGACTTTCAACACCTGCTTATTATATTAGACTAGGTCATTTCCCCCCACAGGCTTTGTTTTCTCTGTCATGCAATTCAACCAATCTGCTTACTGATCCGTAATCAAATTACCACAAACTTTTCTATTTCCTTTATTCTTTTAAAAGAAAAAAAAAATTTTTTTTTAAGTAAGCTCAAGGCCCAACGTGGGGCTTGAACTCATGACCCTAAGATCAAGAATCACATGCTCTACTGACTGAGCCAGCCAGGTGCCCCTCTTCCTATTCCTTTAATTTGGTGGTTGTCAAACTTTTTGGTCTCAGGACTTCTTTACACTCTTAAAAATTGAGGACTCCAAAGAATGTTTGTTAAATGGCTAAATATCTATTGATATTTACCATATTAGAAATTAAACTGAGAGGGGCGCCAGGCTGGTTCAGTCAGTGGAGTGTGCAACTCTTCATCTCAGGGGTTGGGAGTTCAAGCCCCACGCTGGGTATAGAGTTTACTTAAAAATAAAATCTTAAGGGCACCTGGGTGGCTCAGATGGTTAAGCATCTGACTCATGATTTCAGCTCGGGTCAAGATCTCAGGGTCCTGGGATCGAGCCCCATGTTAGGCTCTCCACTCAACGGAGAGTCTGCTTGTCTCCCTCTGCCCCTCCCCCTGCTCATGCTCTCTCTGTCCCTCCCTCTCAAATAAATCAATCTTTTTAAAAAATCTTTAAAAAATTAAACTGAGAAATTTTTTAAGTAATCATTAATTCACTTAAAATAACAAGAGGAGGGGTGCCTGGACGTTCAGTGGGTTAAGCGTCTGACTTTTGATCTCAGCTCAGGTCTTGAGCCTTGAGTCTTAAAAAATATAAATAAATAACAAGAGGGGTGCCCAGGTATGCCTGGGTGGCTCAGTCCGTTAAGCGTCCACCTTCAGCTCAGGTCATGATCCCAGGGTCCTGGGATCGAGTCCCTCATCTGGCTCCTTGCTCTGCAGGGAGCCTGCTTCTCCCTCTGCCTGCCACTCCCCCTGCTTGTGCTCTCTCTCTCTCTCTTTCTCTGACAAATAAATAAATAAAATCTTAAAAAAAAAAAAAAAGAGGGGTGCCTGGCTAGCTCAGTTGGTAGAGCATGCTGACTCTTGATCTCTGGGTCATGAGTTCTAGCCTCACATTGGGCATAGAGCTTACTTTATAAACAAATACATACATACATATATACAAGAAACTCATTATATGTTAACATAAATAGCATTTTAGTTAAATGTAATTGTATTTTCTACAATAAAACAATTTTTAGTGAGAATATTGGCTTTTTTAAAAAACATTTCTGCAACTCTCTTTGGCTTCATAAAAGACAGCTGGGTTCTCCTTCCTATCTGGTTCTGCAATCTGTTATGAATCATATAGCATCTAGAAAACTCTACTGTGTACTTTGTGAGAGAATAAGAATGAAGAAGGCAAATAATATCTCAGTCTTATTATAAAGACAGTTTTGCTCAGGGACTCCCCACGGGATCTTGGATTTTTGAGAACCACTGCCTTAAATTAAGTGGATAAGAGACTATGACAATACCTCAGGCCACATGAGCCCCCTCAAGCTCCAAAAACAGATGTGAAGGGCAGTTGTGATGATGTCTTTCTAACCCTGAGCACAGCTGTGGGATGCTCCCAATCCAAATCACCATTTTGTTAAGCCCCAGTTCCTAGAAATTCCATACCACACACAGGTCTACCATGAAGTCTTCAGAGGAAATAAAACTTTTGCCACTCTTTCTAAATCTAGGTAATACAAAGGCCTGGAAGGCCTCAAAGGTGAGCAGTTGCCACCAGCAAGTGTGTTTCAAACATTTAGGTCATTCTCTAGAGCACATTTCTGAATTCTGCTTTTGATCATGTTCAATAATCTGACATGTCATAAAAGTTTCTTAATATCTTTAAGAACTTGGGCGCCTGGGTGGCTCAGTCAGTTAAACGTCTGCCTTCAGCTCAGGTCAGGATCCCAGGGTCCTGGGATCGAGTCCTGTGTCAGGCTCCCTGCAGAGCCTGCTTCTCCCTCTCCCTCCGCCACTACCCCATGCTTGTGTGCTCTCTCTGTCAAATAAATAAATAAAATCTTTTTAAAAAAAATCTTTAAGAACTTTTTACTTGATTATAAAAAAACCATACACTGCAGTAAGCATGGAAAACAGAAAAAAAGTATAGAGAAGAAAATACCATGTACTACTTGTGTACATAAAAAAAAAATCAAAGAAAAATCACCTGTAATCCTACCAATTTCAAGTACATAATTGACATTTTAGTTTATTTCCTGCTAGTTTTTTCCATGCAACTCTACATAGTTAAGATCATACTGTATATATAATTTTTATTATGTTTTTTCATGAATAAGCTCATTTTCCCCATGTTAATAGAAAATGCTTCCTGGTTTTAAATGCCGCATAATAGTCCCTAGTTTAGTCAACAATTTCCCCAATAGCCATTTAGATGACTTCCCATATTTCAGTGGTGAAAAATTGGGAACAAATACATCCAATGATAGGGCAGTGCTTAAGTCAATTAGGTTTTGTTCATATAATGGAATACAATGTACTCATTAGAAATAATGATATGGTAACATATCTATTCATTCATCCACTCTCTCATTCGATAACATTTGCTGAGTAACCACTGTTTACCAGTCAGTGGACTAGGCACCAGGAATGAAACACAGAAGACATGGCACAGCTCCCACAGAGCTTACAGCCTGGTGGAGGGAGCAGACGTTGAATCAAGTGCAATCTCAGCTTCTCATAAGTGCTCTCCAAGGTGAATAAACAAAGGCTATGACAGAGAAAAAAAAAAAAAGGTGTGGACAGCTACCCAAAAGGGAGGACCAGCCAAGGCCTCTCTGAGGAAGTGAACCTCATAATGAAGATGCCAGCTATGCAAAGGCTGGAAAGGAGAAGGAGTAGGCACAAAGGCCTGGGCTGGAAAAAGAGTTGGACATCTTCTTGGAACTGGAGATCACTATAAGCTGAGATTGAAGGCCAGATCATTTCGGGCCTTGATTTTATCTGAAGGGCACTGGAACACCACTGAAGGCAGGGATGTAATCTGATGTGCTGTAGAGGGGAGATTGGAGGGGATGAGAACAGAAGCAGGGTGTAGTGCTAGGAGGCCTTTGCAATCAGAAAAAAAAAATCAGCATGATTGGTGGCAGGGGTCATGGTGAGAAGTGGATGGATTTGAAACATATTTTGGAAGTAAAACCAACAGGGTTAGCCGCTGAATTGGATGTGGGGGCCTGGGGGGTGGGGAAGAGACAGATAACTCCTGGGTTTTTGGCTCAAGCAAAGAAATTGATGCAAAGACATTTGGAGATACATAGAGAAAAGATTTAAAGGAAGAACTGACTTGTAAGAGAATACCAAGAGGTTTTTTGTTTGTTTTTTTAATTAAAGATTGAGATGGCTGAGAGACATCTGAGGGGAGATGGAGAGCTGGTAGCTGGAAGTAGCTCTGGAGCTTGGAAGAGTGACCTCAGCTGGAGGTAAAAATTTGGACTTCAATCCTTCCTTCCTAGGTACTCCCATTCCAAAATTCTCAGGAGATATATTTGTCGTGGCTATTGTTAACAGCCAGTTCCAATGCTGCCCTACATTTTTCTAATCCAATACCGAAAAGGAAACAAGGATTAGAGCCCTATTTGCATTAAGAATCAAGTAGCTTGGGCTACTTCCCCACAAATAATCCCTGGCAATCACATTTCATCTCTCTTGTAAGTCCTCTTTGTGTGGAAAGAAACAAAGTCTTCTGAGGCCAGTCCAACCAGCAGTCTTATTTCTGCACACCAAACCGTGTGTATAAACAGCCAAAATGTCCATTCTACCACCCAGCTAGTCTATATAGATAGAACAGAAGACACCAGGGCAGCTTCAACTTCTCCATAATCACGAGGACCAAAGCCCTGGTGGACTCTGCTTCCCTCATGGACAAGGGGTAAACAAGAAGGTTCCTTCTCAGCCACATGCTCTAGGTCCTGGGTGACTCCCAAACTCAACAAATCTTTCCCACGCCCTGAGAAAAATAGCAGGTAGCTAAGATTATCTGGGACATCTTCACATGCACCCAATATACTAAGTGGAGTCCTAAAGGACAGGCTCTAGGGATAGCTGCAAACCCGTCCCCCCTTGGGAAGCCTTTCACAGTGACGTGTGTCAGGACACCTAAGCCCATGGCACACCAAAACGTCTGAAATAGCACGACTAGTATTAGATGGGCTGGAAGCTTGGGAGAAATGTGAGCATCACTAAAGTCCTTAAAATCCCCCCTTAAGTGGGGGATTCAAATATGCTAACGCTCTGCCCGGGTCAGATGCACCAGGAGTCCCGTGCCACCAGACAGGAAGAAGTGCCTCCGTTCTACAGATTTAAAGGAGTCTAAACTTAGGCCACAAATGCCCTTCTCTTTACCAATTCAGAGTACAGGCAACTTCCAGAGTCGTTCTGGCTTAATAGTGGGGAGTTCTTCGGGTGCCTGGGTGGCTCAGATGGTTGGGCATCTGTCTTCAGCTTGGGTCATGATCCCAGGTTCCTGGGATCGAGCCCCGCATGGGGCTCCCTGCTCCTTGGGGAGCCTGCTTCTCCCTCTGCCTCTCTCTGTCTCTCATGAATAAATAAATAATCTTAAAAAAAATAGTGGGGAGTTCTAAAAGACACCCTCTTGAATATAAGGGTAGTTAAGAAAAGGTCACCCCCACCCCTCATGATTAAAAAAAAAAATCATGGGAAGCGCTAAAGTTAGACCAAGGAAAATCCAGGTTTAGGCATTTGCTGACTATGTGAACTTGGGCAAGTTTAAAATGTTTTAAGCTTGGGGCGCCTTGGTGGCTCAGTCGGTTAAGCAGCTGCCTTCGGCTCAGGTCATGATCCCGGGGTCCTGGTATGGAGCCCCAC